CTTTATCTTTTAAAGTCTTTTATGCCTATGTTAATTAATGAGGAAAAAAATTTTTGCTTCTTTGTGTATTTTTTTAACCAGTAGTGTCAGAGCTACATTAGCTGGTTAACATTGTGATATTGGAGTGACTAGGTCACACACACAACAATGATCTGGATGCTTTTGGCCAAATATGATTTTTAGAAGTAGCAATTCAGAAAACAATTGTACTGACCATGTGTATGCGTGGTACTCTCCATATTAAACTTTTATTAATAAAATTGTAAAGATACAGTTCTCTGGTTTGAATACCTGTAAATAAGAGGTGTAAGCTATTGGTGCATTTATCAAGCTGCAACTACAGGTATAAATCATGCTAAATAGCAGTCACTCCTAAAGGATGTCTAGTATGCCCAATATCTATATGCAGCACATATATCAGCAGTACCTAGATATGAGAAAATGTAAGCCATGCTCCAATTACAGAGCATTTTGTGAAGCGTGAGCACCTCTTGGGACAATTACCCATAATTCCAGGTGGGTTTGTATGGAGATGAGTTCTAGGACACTCCCACAGTGAATTCTGGGGAAAAGTGTGTCTCACAGTCTAATTTTCATGCAGAGGAACAAATTATCAAGTCCAAGAGCAAGCAGCACCAGTTAACTAACCTGAATTTGAAGAACCTTCACACTTAGCCCAGAGGAGTGTGTGGATGACTGGGTTAGGGATAACAGCTATGAAGTATCTAGTCAAGCAATTATTAAAAAAAAAAAAAAATCAAGGATCAGCTGCTTCTAAATATCCATGTGCAGGCTAAGAATTAGAATCATAGAATCATAGAATAGTTTGGGTTGGAAGGGACCTTCAAAGGTCACCTAGTCCAACTTTGCCACAATGATCAGGGCCATCTTTAACTAGATCAGGTTGCTCAGAGCCCCCTCCAACCTGACCTTGAATTACCATTATTCTATTATAGAAGTTTGAAGGAAGCAGCATCAGTCCATCATTATCAGTGTGTTGATGCTTCATGGCTCTTCATCTTTTCGTGAACAGTCATTTTGAAGACTGGTAATAGGATAAGAATCTCTTACTCTATAATAAACAAATTTTAATCTAGTTTAGATTAATTAGCTTCTTAATGGCCACAGATTTTTCTAAAACCTCTTTCAAACTGGGAAAACAGCTACAGAATTCACACAAATTATTACAACATTTCCTCTTAAGAAAGAGTTTAGTATTTAAATGTGTACTAAACACTGACTCGGCGTAGGCCCAGCCTGCAACATATTTTGTCTTTGTTTAGGAGTCCTTTACTCATGAAAAATCACATTAAAAGTGTAGTAATGATCAGGAGGTCATGACAGTGGACTGCAGAATAAACTGACTGCAGCCACTGGGAGTGAAAATCTTCTGTGCTGTGAGAAGATAAACCAATTCCTTCACCTCTGCTGTGATCTTAGTGTCAACATTTTAAATTACCTGCCAGAGTGAGTACAAAAATTACACTGTCCTCCGAAGTTACTCCTCTGATATTATTTTCTCCCATATATTTAATTTTATTGTTGTCCTTAATCATACCACTGCAAAGACCATATCATTTGCATTGAATTCCGTAAGCTTTTGTGTGAGCATAGAAGTAGCAAAATTTTTTCCTTGCTCAAGGTTTTGAGCTTCAAACCCTTTGGAAATAATACATCCCTTTAGGTTTTGCAAAGCACTGCATATATCTTCAGTAACTACATAGGTTGTGGACCTATGTAATTATGTAAGTAATACATGGACAGTAAACCTCTGCAAAACTTAACACAGAATAACAAGATAGAAGTAGACATTTCTAGATTATGTCTATTCTAGAAGAATTCCTAAAAAAGATTTTTTTTTTTTAAGATAAACGAATTTCCTTTGTCTTCAGATACCTACAGTACAGGCTGAGACCTGACACTACCAGCTGAGACCACAAGGTATCGGGCTCAGTTTTTGTACTCTCAAAATACGGAGTTTGAGGTACCCATCAGATCACAGATTGTCTTTTATTTTATGCTTTTATCTGCAGTGTTTCTGAGCTCATGGTTATGTGCTACACATAATAACTGTAGTAATTCCTATTATTTGTATTAAAAGGCTTTGACATTTCCAGAAATGGTCAGTTAGGTCCATCTGACCTTGTGCTGAAGCTGGATTATTTCATTCATTCACCAGAGCTGCTGTTCTCACAGAGGCAGAATTTGCCTGGTAATAATTGGTTGATTTTTTAAGGCTGTGGTTGAGTCTTTCCTGGTTTTCCCTATTTCTTTAGTTGCATTTCCTTCAATGTTTTACTCGTATACAAGCTAAGAAATATTTTTTCTTTCATTTACAAAGTTTAATATCCTCAAAGCCTTCTCGCTTTCTCCTTCTGTTCCCAAAGACAA